AATGGTTGTGGCAAATTGATCGAACATTCCAAACTATTCACTTCTTTCCCATTGAAAGAGTTAAATATCCCTGGCTTTTGCCTTCCTGTCATTCTTGGTCACACTCTGGCACTGGAACATGAGTTAATGTGACCCCGGGGCATCCGAGCAGAGGCTTTAGAAGCAGTTGCTCTTTCTCTTGTTCTCCCTGTGCCACGGGAACAGCAGGTAGTGGGTCGGAGCTGCCCCTTCCTGGAGCCAGAATGAGAGGCCTGTGGATTGGGCCAGGCAGACGCAGACATTGGCACATCAGTGGGGGAGAAATAAACATTTGTTGTGAACAGTGAGATTTCAGGACTGTTTGTTGCAGCAGCAAAACTGACCAATACATAAACAAAAGCAATTGTAAAAGCAATTTATAAATTCAAACAACATTAATGTTTGTTCACCCATCACATTGGTAAAGGCTGAGAGAATCATAATATCTATGACTTGTTCGCTATCTGCTCAACCCCAAACCAGCCACCCACGTCTCCCCCTAGTAAGGATGGCCGTCATGACTGTCTAGTAATGTTCTGACTCTAAATGTGTCTTTTTCTAATTTGACTGCTATTAAGCCCTAATGATAACTTTATTATGACATTGTTTGGGTGCAGGCATACATATTTAGAATAGTCAAGATATTCTTGGTATTAATATTCTGTCACTTCTAAGTGTTTTCTTATAACAGATTCTGATTCTGTTACCAGAGGCTCACTGCATTCAGGTCGGACACAGGCTAGAGACCGAAGCGTTAACATCTATACTGATACGCTTTTAAGCTTCTCAAGATTTTGACGTTAGGAAAGAAAGGACATTTTTTGGCAGGGCGCGGTGGCTCACGCCTGTAATTCTAACACTCTCGGAGGCCGAAGCGGGAGGATCACTTGAGGTGAGGAGTTCGAGACCAGACTGAGCAAGAGTGAGACCCCCATCTCTACCAAAAATAGAAAAATTAGCCGGGCGTGTTAGTGCATGCCTGTAGTCCCAGCCACTTGGGAGGCTGAGGCAGGAGGATCGCTTGAGCCCAGGAGTGGGAGGTTGGAGGATGCAGTGAGCTATGATGATGCCACTGCACTCTAGCCGGGGCGACAGAGCAAAACTCTGCCTCAAAAAAAAAAAAAAAATAGAAAGAAAACTTTTTTTAAACTCCTTCAGAAACCCCAATCAAAATATTTTGCTTTTCTTTTTTTATTGTGGCAAAGCCTACATCAGGTTTAGCATCTTAACAATCTGTAGGGCACAGTTCAGTGGCACTAAGTACATTCACAGTGTTGTGCAACTTTCACCACCATTGTCTGCAGAACGTTTTCGTCATTTCATACTGAAACCCACTGAACAGTAACTTCCCCTTTCCCCTCCCCGCAGGCCCTGGTGGCCGCTGTTCTACTCTCTATGTGTATGTGTGTCCCTTCTCAGGATACTTCGTATAAGTGGAATCATGCAATATTTGTCCTTTTGTGCTTGGCTTATCTCACTTAGTAAAACATCTTCAAAGTCCAGCCACGTTGTAGCATGTATCAGAATTTCCTTCCTTTTTAAGGTTGAATAAGATTCCATTGTGTGGCTAGACCACATTTTGTCTATCGGTTCATCTGTCAGTGGACATGTGAGTTGTTTCCGCCTGTCGACTATGGTGCACATGCTGCCGTGAGCGTGGGGTACGACACTCTGCTTTCAGTTATTCTGTGAGTACACCCAGAAGTGGAATTGCTGGATCAAAGAGTAATTCTGTGTTTCATTTTTTGAGGAACAGCCAAAATGTACCCCAATCAATTTTTAAAAAGAAAATTCATGACTACTTGTTAGAGACAATTCAGCATCTAAAATTAACTTGAATTTTTAATTTTAAAGCCCCTCTGAAGAAAATGTCCTTCTTGATTGTTATGCAAGCAAAGTAAGTCTCACTGATTTTGCTACCATTGGAACTATAAAGAAAGTTATTTAATCTAGTTTCTGAAGGAAAAAAGGGCTCATTCAAATAAAATAAACTTCCTCCACAAATTAGCAGACAAAACCGTCTCACTCACTTGTTCCCCAAGTCCTCTCCGTGCTGGAATATGTATTTGAAGCAAGCAAAACAAACGATAACCCAAGTGACGAGGGGAAATGAGTTCAAACTTCACTGAAATATTGATAGAAAACATTTATCAAAATTAAAAGCTTTTCAGAGGCAATTTTTGTTTTTCAGGTTGTGAAAAAAAAAATCTCAGGGCATTGGCTGTGAATGAAGGCATCCAGCTGTGTGCTGAAGTTAGGTGAAAGTTTACAAAATAGCGAGAGAGAGAGAGAGAGAGAGAGAGAGAGAGAGAGGGAGGGAGGGAGGGAGAGAGAGAGGGAACACGTGTCTGAATGGGACTGTGGGCGTACAGGGCTTTGTGGGCAGGTACAGAGTCGGGAACCTTCAGCCGCACGGGTCGGCTTCCTTCCCGGCTAGACGGCAGGGGAAGGCACGGCTGAAAAGTCGGATGCCGCTCGAGCCTGGAGAAGAATAAAGAACAGCCCCCAACCCCATTCTGTCGAGGACCCATGCTCTGCCCCACCACTGACCATCCCTGTTCAGGGTCAGCAGAGAGAAACTCTAGTCCTCTCCAATGCCACCCTCCCCTCCATCAACCTCCCTGCGGTCTTCCATTCCGGGCCACGTGCCTGCCTTTCCCGACAGCCCCCTCCAACTGTTAGCCCCACCGCTTCCTCGCCTCCCCAGGGCAGGATGAGTCGCTCTTTGACACTCTGACCTGCCCTCCCCCCTCGCATCTACCGCACTCACAGTAACTGTTTACACCGCCTGCCCCAGAAGGCTGAGCTCCCGGGGGCCCTGGGCTGCGGCTCACACTCTTCTCTGCAGCCCCATCCCTCCCTAGCAGTATGTGCTGACCCGGGTCTCGGCCTCCCTGTTTCTGTCTGTTCTGGCCTCACCGCCTACTCACAGGCCTGTTCTTAGCCCAGAGCAGAGTTGGATCATATCACCCCCAACTCAGAATCCTTCCCTGGCTGACTTTCGCCTTTGCAGATCTTTCAGTTTTTGGCGTCCAAGGCCTTGCGTGCTGTGCAAGGGGGCTCACCGTCAGGATGTTAACGAGAACGAGTTCAGGTGAGAGTCACGGTCAGGGCCAATGTTAGGCGAAGATCTTCAGTGACTTGAGAGAGCCCAGTTTAGCATTTCATTCCCTCCCTCTCCTTGTCCTCAGACACACTGAGCACCGCGGGGCAGTTCCTGTGTGAGGCCTTAGAAAAAGGAAAACGATCACAGTCTTGCACTGGCCTGAAAAAGACACGGGCCTTGCTCTGTCCCTCCACTCTGGGCACCATCTGACCCCAGCGGTGTGCTGGTGAACGTTCAGTGACGGACTTTCTGGGAGAACATAGTAAAATAATTAGGAAGTGATACATTTTGAGTATTTTCCACCTTTGTTTTTAATATAATTTAATTTTAGGTTTATATGATTCGATTTGTGTGTTTGTTTGAAACAGGGCTCTTCTGTTGCCCAAGGCTGAAGTGCTTGAACGTAGCTCACTGCAGCTTCCAATTCCTGGACTCGCGCCATCCTTCCGCCTTCGCCTCCCAAGTAGCTTAACTGGGACTACACGCACGTGCCCCCACATCTGGCTAATTTTTAAAAATTTAAAAAATTTCTTTGTTTTTTTTAGAGACAGGGTCTCGCCGCGTTGCCCAGGCTGGTCTCCAACTCCAGGATGCACATTTCACTCCTGGAACGCGCCGCCCAGCCGGGAGGGGGCGCCACGGCGCAGAGACAGGCGGGCGCGGTGCCTCACTAGGCCACCGGGGGGCGACAGACACCGCCAAAGCGCGGCAGGGAGCGGAGGCGGAGACCCCAGGGCTCAGCCGCTGGGCCTCTTCTCTGCCCCCAGGGACGACGAAGACGCTGCTCCGGCTATTTCAGCCGTGTCCCGGGCAGGGGTCCCGGGTTCCTCGTCCGGAGAACCCGCGCTCTGGCCCGCAGCACCCCAGTGGTCCGGCACACGGCGCAGGCGCGCCCCGGCGGCTGCCATACCCGGCGTCCTCTCCGGCCGGAAGTCGGCCCGGCGGGCCTTCCGGGCATCCCTCGCGGGATCACCGCACTTCCTCTGCCTGGGTATCTCGAACGAGTCCAGGTCATTTCTTAGCTGGAGTTAATTAATCACCAGGCAATTAGTTTATATTTTCCCCGATCCTGAGGCCAGCTGGATTAGTGAGGAAGGACTAGGGACAAGAGCTTCCTCCTGAGTCACCCTAAGGCAGCAGCACCTGGGAGATGCGGGGAAGGAGACAGCTCAGGCTTCCGCTAGGGGCTGTCCACGAGGGCAGGGCTGGCTCAGGCCGTACATCCTGGAGTTTGGATGAGGAACCCTGGGTTCTCCTCCCAGATCTCCCGCCAGCTCTGCCTGAGCTTTCGCAAAGCATTTAACTCTGCTGGGCCCCGCTTTCTTCAGCAAACACTGATGCTCCCTGACAACCATTTTCCTCCTTCCTCCCTCCTCCTCCTTTCTCCCACCCCCCAGCAAAGCAAACACAGACCCTTGGCAGACACTGGCCATCCTTCCAGGGCCAGAGCTTTATTAAATGTCTCCCAGACACAACTATGTCCACTAGTTGACTGCAACTCAAAGCATATAGTTATGGGTGCATCGCATGTACTCTGTGGAGAGAGGTGCATGTTCATATGTTCAATGAAACGTGGTGGGGGCCTCAAAGCTAATGGCCCAGGCTTATCAAGGTCTTAAAATGGCCCTGTGACATTTGAGTCCCGGCCTTCTACTTCCCAGCCATGTGAATTGGGACCAACTCCTCCCTCTCTGAGCTCATTTCCTCATAGGTACGGCAGGGAAGACAATGCTTTGGGCAGAGTAAGGAGGTGGCTTGTTGAGCATAGTAGGGAACAGTATTTGGAACTGAGGCCCAGGTGATTTTCGGGAAACTTCAGCCCTACAAACTGTGGATCTGGGACAATAAGCCCTGAGACCACAGCTGGTAGGAAGCAAGTTTACGAGGATTCAGAGGGCTAATCGGGTTGGGGGAAAGTAGGAGAAATGAGGAGGACAGTAACCACTGTCCCAGCCTAGGGAGTCTGGGACTTACTCAGGTCGGTTCCTGCACATTTAAACAACCAGTTTTTTTTACAGGCTTGAAACAATCAGAGCAGGTTTGCTGGGGTCCCTGGAGGTCTGCTGTGTCTACAGGCATTAACTCCTTAAGCTAGATTTGGGGGAAAGTCTAGTGGAGGGACTGGAGCAGCGGGGAACTCAGGGGCACCTGGAGGGCTTGGGGAAGTGGCTCAGTACCAGCCCATGGCTGGCACTCAGTTTGGCCCTATCAGAGCACACTGGCTGGAAATCTGCCTTGCTAGGGAGCAGCAGGTACCAGGCGTGGGGCAAGTGGAGGTTGGCAGTACGGCTCGGTGAGCAGGTGAGGCTGCACTCCCTGGCACTTCAAGGCTGGGGTCAACCAGTGGAGTCTCGGCTCCTTGGGGCTCCTGAGCGTTTGAGCAACAACTCCTCCTTCCCATAGAACTTCACTAGAGGTTTTCTGGTCCTCCCAGCTTTTAAACTTGGGAAAATCCTTTCCCCTTGCTGTTTCTAGCTGAGGCATTTCCTGTCTCCTCTGTCTTCAAACCACTGTTCTCCTCTTTCACAACAGACTTGAGACCACCATCACCAGCAACCAAAAAACTAGTTCTTTCATCAAGGGCAAGAAAGACTGAATCTTCCCACCCTGCCAGGATACAAGAGGAGATATTTGCATTCCATTTTTCTATGGTAAGGAAAGAAAATAAAAATAAAGCACTTATAATTTTTAGAGTGTAGTTTGATAATATCTATCATCAAAAGTTGTAAATAAGTTTATAACCTTTGTCCTGGTAATTTTCCTTCTAGGAATGTAACTTGAGGAAATAACCGGAAATGCTTTCAGAGATTTATGAACAATTCATTGACAAATTAAATACAGTAGTAAAAGGAATGAATGTCTAGTGTCAGAGAGCATGGGCTGGGCACCTTATGGTACATTATTGGCTTAGTTTGTTCGTGCTACTATAACAGAATTCCTGAGACTGGGTAATTTGTAATGAACAGAAATTTATTGGCTCATGATTCTAGAGGCTGGGAAGTGCAAGATCAAGGGGCCACAGCTTGCGAGGGCCTTCGTGCTGTGTCATGACATAGCAGAAACCATCACATGGCGAGAAAGTGTGCACATAAGAGGGACTCGTACTTTTATCATGAACCCACCCTCACAATAACTAACCCCTCCTAAAACAATGGCATTAATCCATTCCTGAGGGCAGAGGCCTCGTGGTGACCTAATCACCTCTTAAAGTTACCACCTTTCAACACTGTTGCGTTGGGGATTAAGTTCCAACACATGAATTTTGGGGGACACGTTCAAATCATAGCAATTAAACAATGCAGTATTATATAAACTTTAATAACCAAGTCACGAATGGTTTGTTAACATAGGAAGATGCCAAAAGATATTGAATTTTAAAAGCAGGATAAAATTATGGAGCAGTATGATTCCAATAATATCAAAAGAAAATAATATAATCTGTACCTTGTTTCATTAATTAAATAAGAATTTGTAAACTGTGTTTCATTTTATCAACTAATTGATTCAACAAACCTGGGGTGTCACTACATGCCAGGCAGTGAAGATATATAACATTAATAGTAAGCTGTTAAAAGTATAATTTTCAAAAAAATAAAAGCATGACTTTCAAATAGATATAAAATGAGCATGTGTCCAAGATTTTAACTCAGTAATGAATGAGGAAAACTGGACGGTGTTAGAACTTGTGTTAGAACTTGTTTAACAGAGACTGAAGGAAAAGCATCTCCATGGGAAATCAGGAACGCTGAAATCGACTTAATGGATGCAAAGCTGGTCTGTGGCCCACAGAGCGATGACACGTGACGTTCGGAATCATCTTTGCTGCAGGATGAGGGGAGAAAGCTACTTGTAAAATAGCCTAGTCAAAGACACAGGCACGAAGGCCCCCACAGATGAGCTGACCACAAAGGATCTGCAGCCATGTTAACACGCCCGTGCGGGACACCTGCCACCTTCGTCATTCCAGTCATCGGCAACTTCGCGCGAGAAAAACAGTTCCTATCTTCATGGAGCGTGTAGTCTACTAAGGCAGTTTGTAAACAAATAAACACATTAAAATAAAAATGAGAGAAATGAACAGGCTGCTGTTAAAGGATAATTTTCACAAAAAAGTAAAATTATGACTTTCCTAAGATCATCTGAAAGGTTTTATTTAACTTACCAATTAGCGAGGGAACCAGTTAAGATATTGCAACTTCGTTCAAGAGAGGACTCGAAACATCACACACTTACGGCCAGGTAGGCATTGATCATAGCGAAATGCTTTTGCCAGTGGATGCGGAACTGTCAAAACTGTCCATCCCCACCGAGAGACGCAATTTGCATTTCTATGAACAGGAATTATTTGCGTACTATCAGTTTTCTGCCAATTAACTCCTGTGTCTATGGAGTCATAGCGTCGCCAGCTCAGAGACAAACAAGGCACGTCCCTTCCACCCCTCACCCCCTCCTGCCCCAGGGTCAGATAAGCCCTGCGGGCCCCCGCTGAAAGTGTAGCCGGCAATCCCACCTGCCCGTTTCTAATCGGGCGCACTACAGGGATGGGTGAAAGAATATCAGGGAAGGTGTCACTTAAACTAAGGCCTCAACAGAAGGTGCCAACTCAGAATGCACCACCCAAAGGCCTTCCAGATAGACGGGACAACACGTGCAAAGGCCCTTAGATGGGCAGGGCCTTAGAGGAAACAGGGCCAGCGAGGCTGGACAGGTGTGAGCTGGGGAGGGGATGTGAAGGCAGAGCGCCAGCAGGGGTGGATGGGGCGGGGCTGCCAGGGAGGAGATGAGGATCAGAGGATCTCCTACTGCGCTGGCACCGTTGGACAGTTCTAAACTGGGAAGTGCCGGCATCTAATCTACATCGTGCTAAGCAGCTCTGATTGCTGTGGGGAGAAGAGACTGGAGGGACCCAGGGGACCTGTCAGGCCTGTTGCAGCATCGGGGAGAGGGACGGGGCCCTGTGCACACGGAGGAGACCCCTGGACCCCAGCTGGTGCTAGGTCTGAAATGCCGCCACTCACCAGGAGATGGGAACAGATTAGAGGAGAAGCAAGGTTGCTGCCTTTGTGACAGAAGTAAAGGTCTGAAAAGGGGCGATGAAATGTTTCATGAGTTGTCTTTTTAATGCCCCCCTTTGGGAACTAAAACTTGCGTTCCTTCCCGAGGCTGGCCATCAAAGGGGTAGAAAAATGTTCTTTGCTGTTTGTTCTCGATTATCTTAAACCACAGAATTGTCCGGACAAGGGTCCCAAGATCGTCCTCACTGGAGATAAGGCCGCAGTAACCCAAGACTGAAATCACCAATCACAGTTAAGCAACAACAGTGACAGGTAGACCCGAGCCCAACCATTGAAAGCCCCCCTTTAAAAAGCCCTGGTTTTGTGCTTAAAGGCAGGACGGTGGTCTTTGAGATGCTAGTCTGCCACACTCCTCATTTGCCAACAAATTAATAAATTCCTTTCCTCTTTCGTCAAACCACTTGTCCTCATTCTTCGTTCTCATTGATTCGGCCTCGGGGACAAGTACCGAGCTTTCGGTAACACCCGGGCTTACAGCTAGAGCACCGGGTGAGTGGCAGTGCCATTTTCTGAGGGGAGGCCTGGGGGAGGGTCGAGCTTGAGGGACTCTCCCATTCCCTGGTTTGAGGCCTGTCGGAAGCCCAAGTTCCCAGTGCCTGGATCACGGCCTGAAAGCCCAGCTGTGAGCTGTGACGGTGCATGTGGGGCTTCACCCCACCTGGCGCAGGGTGGGCCGATCCCACCTGCCCCCCGGCACCTGGGCCTCCCCACCCCGGAGTTGTCTGTCTTCCTGGCTGGGGAAACCCTCCATGCTCTGACTTACCTGGAGCCTCTCATTAGCAGTAATTAGCACAGTCACTCATTTCCCTGGAGGGCTGAAGGGGGAGGAACGTGGTTGGAGGTGGCTCCCCACCCCGCTGGGGTGGCCAGAGCTGGTTTCTCCATGCTTCCTCTCCCGGCAGGCATCACGTGGCTG